CCCGCCAGGACTTCCTGAGGGACGATATTCAACGCTGCAACCTCCGTCCCTTCTCACCGAGCAAGCTCAGTGGGTTAGACGTAAGGGATCTCATCCGCCTCCGGCGGCTGACCCCGCCAGCCATTGATCCCCGCGCAAAGTTCAGAAGGAAGTGAAGGAATTGACAAATCGTAGACATTTCAACTTTTAAGGGATATTTGGGATTGGTCAATTCGCTTACATCAGTTTTAACTAAACTTGTTTAATGCCCATTTACTCCGACGTTAATCGAATTTTAAATTCTGGTTATCTTATCTTAAAATTATATTTAAAAAATTGAACCAGACTTAAATCATATCGGAGGGGTGGGGTGTACAGCTGTCGTGTAAACGTAGTCATTGATATTTTTGAAGTTTTGGTCGCGTTCACATGAATTCGTTTAACCAATAGCAGATAAGCAGGCACTACCGAACCTATCAAATCTTCATGTCGAATATTAAAATAGCGACAGCCACGTCCTGCGCGCCACGTCCATGTTGTCACACTTGCCGTATTCTTTACCGGTAAACAGTTTGAAGACGAGTTCGAGTTTGGCGAGTTTCTTTAAGAATATTAAGGTTAAGCTGAAAGTATGGCTTGTGGCACGTTACGTGCATTAATATCGTTGGCGGTGGTGGTTTTGGCATCTCGGGCAATTACTTTGGCAGTTCCGAATGCAAATGTGGAACCGGAGCTCGTCCTGAAGAATGTGGAAAGGAACATTGACCTGCAATCTCAACTCACCAAGATCACCACTAAGGTGGTTTTAGAGAATGGTGGAAAAAGTCCGATGCGCAGCTTTCTCTTCGCTATAGATGATAAGCAGAAGGAAGGACTCAGTTACATTGGAGCTCATACTAGAGAGGCTGGACGTGCTGCTCTGAAGGTTTCGAAGAGTGAAGTAAAGGAACATCCTGATAAGCTTTTTTATCAGATTGAACTTAAGGACTCATTGCCGCCAGGGCGATCGGTTTCTGTTGAAGTTGAAGTTGTTTCGACGCATGAGCTTGTACCTCATCCTAAAGAGATCATTCAGAAAGAAAAGCAACTGGTACGCTACACTGGAAACCTTTATTTGTACTCACCATATCCTGTCCTTAAGCAGTCTACTATGGTTGTATTTCCGTCTCGTAATATTGAGAGCTATACCAAGATTAAACCTGTGTCTCAAACTGAATCCACTATCACCTATGGACCATATGATAAACGTGCTCCATTTTCTTCGGAGGAGCTTGCTGTGCACTTTGAAAATAACAGTAAATTCCTCACTGTTACAAGGCTTGAGAGAGTTATTGAAATCTCACACTGGGGCAACATTGCTGTAGAGGAAACAATTAATCTTCTTCACACTGGTGCTCTTTTGAAGGGATCATTTTCGCGTTATGAATATGCACGTGAATCCAAGTCTGGTGAAGCTAGTGTACAGAGCTTTGATACAATTTTACCAGCTGCCGCCTCTGATGTCTACTATCGGGATGAGATTGGCAATATCTCGACATCCCATGCCAGAATCAAGAAAGACTCTGTAGAACTTAACTTAAGACCACGATTTCCATTGTTTGGTGGATGGAAAACTCGTTATACAGTCGGATATAACGTGCCTAGTTATGAATACCTTTTTCATTCTGGTGATCAATATACGTTGGAGATGAGACTTCTGGACCATGTGTTCGACGACATGGTAGTGGACGAGCTGATCGTGAAAATCATTCTACCAGAAGGATCTCGTGATATTGAACTAATTTTACCTTATGCAGCTACTCGTTTACCAGACAGTCTTCACTACACATACCTAGACACAACTGGTAGACCAGTGATCTCGGTGACAAAGAAAAACTTAGTTGAAAACCACATTCAAAACTTCAGGCTTCGATATACATTTCCAAGGTTGCTTATGCTTCAGGAGCCACTATTAGTGGCTGTGGCTTTGTACCTTCTATTCCTGATGGTTATTGTTTACGTACGTCTAGACTTCTCCATCGATAAGGACGAAGCATCTGAGAGTAAACTGCGTATAGCAGGGCAATGCGAAAAAGTTCTAGCTGCTCAGGATCGTCGAGTGAGCTCCTACAATGACCTGGATGATCAGCTTGTATACTTAAAAGCTAACAAAGATGCTAATGCTTTCCTTACTGCAGTGAAGAGCATCAATCAAGAGTACAAAAATGCAACCAGTGCTATCGCTGAACTTGCTCAAAAACTAAAAACAGAATCTAGTGACGTTTATGAACGTGTTATGGAATTGCAGCGGTATGATCGAATTCTTAAAGATCTGTATAATCAGCAGCAAACTCTCTATGTGGACAAATTGATTCCGGGTAAGGTTGGAAGACAGCCCTTTATCGAAGCAGAGGCTGCTATCTCTAAGAAGAAAGAGGAATGCGTAGAGAAGATCAATGGCATTGTCAAATCCTTGCAATAGTCATTAGATCCTTGCTATAAAAATTGTTTTCACAAGGTTTATCATTCCAGTCGATAAACAGGATACTCCTGGGATATGCTTGTGATGAAGAGATTCTTCTAGGAATGGCAATGATGCCAAAATTTATAAAATACTTCGACTGTCGTACTTCACTTTCGATTGTTATGAAACACATTTACGTACTAATGGCTAGGACAACTATTGCTCTACTCTTTCAACTTTGTAATAAAGAAGTATTATAAGTAGCATTGAAAATATTATTTACATCCTGAAATCACTTAACATTCTATAGAACTCAGTAGAATAAGCAATACAATAAACACTAGACAACATTGAGATCAAAGGGAACGAATTTACCATATGACCATTTAAAAAAGATGTATCAGTTATTATACTACATCTTCTTTCTTGCCTTTGTAAATATTTATAGCTAGTGCTTACATTAGTCTAAAGAAATATCGAAGAATTTAAATTTTCAAAAATATATTAATTCGTTGGTTTTTCATTAGAAATTCATTGTATATAGCGTATTTTGCATAGAACGAAGAGATTTTAAGAGAATTGAATGCGTTTAGAGTATACCAAATTATTTCATTTGATATGGCGTTTTTGAAGTATGCCTGCGCAAAGTGACACTTCGACTCGGAATAGTATCCCTACTTGGAGCATGTGTCAAACGAACCGCCGGTTAAACGGACACCTGCTAGCCTGCTGTCATCTTAATTTTCGGTGGCCTCGCTCTTCAGGGTGAATTTATACTCGGAGCGAGGATGACGAATTTACGTAAATTCATAGGTACGTCAAACTGTATTGAAATTTTTAATAAAAATGCATATTTCGTCAGTTTTTATATTGCGAATTTCGATTAAGGTTATGTTACTTAATGGCCCGACCGTTTGAAATAGTGTCTGTAATAATTGTCACAGATATTGGGGCCAATTTGATTGATCCTATGTACCAAGGAATATATCATGGATCTCGAAAGCATCAGGCAGATCTACAAAATGTATTAGAACGATCATGGAGTAACAATCTTTCCAAGATTATCATAACTGCTGGTAGCATCGAGGAGAGCAAGAAAGCTCTTGAATTAGCTAAAACTGATGGTACGTCAATATTCTTTTGTTCGTCTTAGATTGAGTCCTAATGTGGTACTTCTAGTTTTCGTTTATTGCAGAACGATTATTTTCTACTGTTGGTTGTCATCCAACAAGGTGCAACGAGTTTGAAGAATCTGGTGATCCTGAGGGATACCTTAAATCATTATGCGATCTAGCTGTCGAAAATCGGGAAAAGATAATCGCTATAGGTGAAATGGGTCTAGACTATGATCGATTACAATTTTGTTCCAAAGATACTCAGAAGAAGTATTTTGAGATGCAGCTCTCTATGTGTTCCAAGTTGAAACTTCCAATGTTTCTTCACTGTAGAAATGCTGGTGATGACTTTGTACAAATACTCAGGAAATATAAGAATGAATTAACAGCTGGCGTTGTACACTCCTTTGATGGAAATCCAGAGGATGCCAACAGCATACTTCAGCTTGGACTGTATATAGGTATTAACGGCTGGTAGGTAGAATCTCGTTTCTGTAACTGCTGGACTTTTTTTTCTTGGAAGAACAGACCACTTGATTTCGATGCATCATGTATTTCAGTTCGCTCAAAACCGAAGACAATCTATTCTCAGTAACAACGATACCATCCGACCGTCTTATGATAGAGACTGATTGTCCCTGGTGCGAAATAAGGCCGACACATGCAGCAGCAAAACATGTAATTACACATTTTCCATCAGTGAAAAAGGAAAAATGGCAGCCAGACCGAATGGTTAAGGGTCGAAATGAGCCATGCACCATAGTGTAAGTGTTAACAATTTAATTAGATTGTGGTAAAAGTAATACTAATAATATAAAAAGAATAAAGATGTTTAAATAAAAAAAAAAGTTGAAAATGTATTGATTAATTCTGTATGGTTGCAGCCAAATTTTGGAAATACTGGCACGCGTTAGAGATGAGGAGGAGGAATACCTGTGCAACCAAATATACAAGAACACGATGAAGCTTTTCTTCCCACACGAGTTGTAAAACATCTCAGGACTGTATTCTATATGTACGTTTCTCTCCTCACAGAGAATTGCGGATGCGCTTGCATACGTAACTCAGTGGAACTTTTTGCCGCGTACGCTCGACATTTTAATTACATGTACACGGCCGGCGCGTGAGGAGAATTATTATACACTGCTGCATTTACTTACATTATCGACTTTAAAGAAATCTTTTACCAAGAGAAAAAAGGAAAAGCTTTCTGCATTATTTATTTCTCATCATTTACTCATTCTACATTTCTAAACCCACAAACGAAATATATGGAATAAATGTACAAAATACTATGTTCGGGGTTACATACCAACAGCGCGGGTTCACCTTTTTGTCTTCTGTGGTCTCGTAAATATTTTTTCTTTACTTTTCTACGAAGCCGCACTGCGAATTGTCCAAAATAGGAATAAAAAAACAATACTTTGGTCAAACTGCGCCTGCCTGTCTACGTGATAAAGGTCATGGCAAACACGCGCTTTGGTTTAAACTTTAGAGTTTTTTACGAGACACCGGGTTTATCGAGTAGAATAGGGACTGCGAGTGTTAAAGTTTCTCATATGTATTTTTCTGAAACATTTTGTATTATTTTTCGTTTCGGAGAATCATTATTAAATACTCATCCGAATAAGTGTCCTCGTGTTTCTCGATTCCCGTGTTTATATATAACAAATAAATGCTGAGGTATGGAAGAGTTCTCGATCGCCGACTATGTTATTACTTGTCGGTTCACGGCGTATTGTCCTGACTTCGCCGCTTCACTGAACTTTCGACAGTATTTGTACCTTTTCATAAACCCAGTCATACGTTTGGCTGGCGAAGGTTTGCGTTGTGTTGATCGCCTGACTCGCGTATTTTTGAAGACTCTCTGGACTGAGTTTACCACTGAAAAAAAAAGGAAAACGCAAAGAAAAATGAGTCATGCTTGTAACTGCTTTGTGAGTTATATTTTTGTAGAGCAGAAAAACTCACACAAAGACATTGGTTTCTAGCCAGCGAATAGCATGTGTCGAATATTCAACAATATGCTCTGCAGCCAGGGCAGAATAAGTCTTTACAAAGTCGAGAGCTTGAATGCTTCTTGTACGTGTCTCTTCTAAGAGACCCGGTGCATAACGATCGATCTATTGCATGAAGAAACGTTTATACATTATTTCTTAATGTTATATAATGTCTGATATAAAAATATGTGATAGAGGTACTAACACTTGCTGCAACGAGAGGTCCATTATGAGCCACATAAGCTGCTATATTGTTGTACAGCTTCCATGAGGCATTTCTTATCACAAGATAAAGATCCCCACCTAATTTAATGTAAGGCATGGAGACATCTACAACAGTTTTATAGTATTCCGGAGCACTAGCTTCAGCATACTCGAGACTTTTAGCCGAATAGTATTTTGTTGTTGACCAAGCCCTCTGCCCTTGCCCAAGAATGCCACTGTCTTTCAAGAACTTCCCAGTACTAGAGGCTACGAGAATAATTATAGATAATTATAGAATAATACACAAATTTAAATATAAAAAATGACTCCAAAAGTGCATAAGTTTTAAGAAAGAACCTTCGAATGAGCCATGCTTCCGATAATCAATCGCTACAATGGCACTGATAAGAAGGAATAGTAGTAGACTTCCTTTCTTCCAGGGAAACCAGCTCCTTGACACTGTCATTCTTGCTACTAATACCTGAAAGAGGAATGTTCCTGGATAAGAACTTTTTACACCGTTTGCTGTATGCGAGAATAAACTGATACAATTAAAAAACAAAGAAAACGTAAAATGCGATTTGTCGCCTTGGCTAACGATAAATCCACAGTACGCTGACTCTGTTAAATTCAATATTCACTGTATACACATTATAAGCGACTATAGAAATCAGCCGTTACCTCCGTTCGTAAAGGCAGACCGTGTAATTTTTTGTTCTTGTCAAACGAAGAGATTGCTCCGAGGTCGAATGTCGATAAAAAAAAAAGGAAGCGCTAATGTTAACAACCGATGCTAACGTCGCAGCTCAAGGCGCAACTCGGGGACATAGATATGTATATGTAGAAAACTTCTACAGCACAATAGACGATCGATACTCTTTCGCCTCGCCCAACCTAACCGAACCTAACCTAAACTAAACAAACGGAACATGATGTATCACGCAAACGTTTTGAAAGTTTATACGTTTACGGGTGGTATCAGAGCTTTCACTGTGAAATATTATTGTATCAACTCACTGGCGTACTGGTACCGATACGAATATATACTGCTTGATAACAGGATCTTAAAGAATGAGTCTTCCTTTTTGGAAGTACGTAGCTACTTCGATTTTATATCGATGAATGTATAAAATATACCGTTTGCCGGTCAAAGTCTTTTGGAGAGGACAAATGCGCGTCGCCGTCCAACTGCTGACTGTTGTGTATGGCGTGGAAAACTGGGATTTGAGTATTAGGGGGCGCTGTAGATGAACCGCGTGTATTTAAACCGGTTCTTCTTCAGTCGTGTGCCCGATTTCGTTGTGAAAAGATGCTGTAGGTTTATGAGAGTGAGAGAAGTCTTATTAATTTACATACCTACCTCACATCCTTTAATACATGCCGACAGATATTCATCCTTCTTTTTGGCCGTTTTCCAGCCATCATTTGACACTTGGAAGGATGCCAAAACTTCAGAAAGTACTTTTTTCTTTAAAGTAGGTTGTATTGTACTCCAATTAGAATCTGCAATCAGAGTGATAATCTATCATTGTGGTAATCTTAATAAATTAGTAATTGTTATGGAGTATGATGCTGACCAATGTGTTTGAGAAGGACACTAGACTGGTATAAATGTTTGGAATAAATATTCTTCCAGGTAGTGTAGCACCGAACGTCTATCATAAGGCAGGCTGCTACAGCATGAAGTAATTCATCCCTGTAAATTGGGCTGATTTTTAGTGTTATTTTGTCAAAAAGAGTTTCCAATAATTTACGATAATTGGCGTTCTCGTTTTTGAATGTTATTGACTGAAAAAGAAACAGAAATAATTTTGTTGTGTACTTCTATCAGTTTTGGAGCGTTATTTATATATATTATTTTACTCACGCGGAGGTTCACGATAACGGGAGTGACTTCTTTTACAATGGTAGCAGGAATATTCAATTTCCCTGAGTACACGTCGTCCAGAATAGTCAAATACATATCGGGGGTTACATTATTTGTATTACTCATGTGATCAGCAACCATATCATTCAAAACTTTCACTACATATCCTGAGTAGTTCTTTATTTCCAACATAGGTGAAATAATCTCATGCCATGCTTTTAAACCAACTGATAAATCTTTACGACCTGCCTGATAGAGGACCCAAAATAGGGACTGACCAATAGGCTTTCTATTTTGATAGGATTTTCTCAAACTGATTAGTTTTGGAATATTTGCGATGGTCATGTCAGGATCGTGTTGTGCCAATAGTTGTAAGAATATTTTGTGTCCAACTACAGGCGTTCCTTTGGCCATGTCTGTAGCCATGGCAGTTAGTGTGCCTTCATAAAATAATTTGACAGTTTGTGGTCCTGCTCTTTCAATTACTCTCTCCAATAACGATCGTATTGTTTTTGGCACAACACTCAATGGGTAGCCAGGTGGTTTTCCATCAAATAGTGGATCATCTCGCTCTATGGGAATGCTTGCATTCAGAAAAGCATCTACATTTTTTAACCAAATGAGTGGTGCATCTGGATATCTAACTTCATCATTAATTATTGAGGATTCCAGAGATGCTGCATTTATCTATGAATTATAGAAATAACAGTTTGTTTATATCCAATACTAGTGATTAAGTATAGAATAAATATGGCAAGGAAATCTACCAGATTTACTGCATCCTCTATAGATTTTGGAGGCTTCTCTTTAGGCTCCTGTTTCTTCTGCTCAAGCTGCTTCTGCTTTTGCTGCTTCTTCTTCTCCTCATTCTCCTTGGTCTTATTGTCCTTCTCCTTAGTCGGCTTCTTGTTCTCCTTGTTCCCATCCAAGTTGTCGTAGAGTGTTTTCACTTGACTGAGGGGCACTGGTGCGCAGAAATCACGATGTTTCGAGGATTAGAGCTTTGCGCCTCTGGGAGACATTGAGAGAAAACATCGATTGTACGGTGGGCACGAATAACGAGCCATTCCAAAATGCCAAAAATCTCATTACACATGGTAGACAAGATACTGAATTTAATAAACTAGACCTCTGCTCTGATCTAGAGCCGACATTAATTTCATTCCAACAAACCTAACTTTTACATTTGTATTTTTTGAGCAGTTATCAATTAGTATCTTACCTATTTACCTATTACCTATTTACCTATATACCTATTTACGTTACAGTAAATAAAAAAGTATTACTTAAATGTGGGTGGCTTTTATTGTTTACAACTAGTTGGTTAGAAGATCCCAGACTTACGAAAATCCTCGACTTTAGGTGCATTCTCTATGAATTTCTTCTTCTCCGCTTTGGTCAGCTTTGTTGGTTTTCCATTGCTTTTGTCCTTTTTACCCTTGCCGACGACTTCCCAGCCTCCGGAGGACATTATGAGATCTTTACAAAAATTAAATGAAAAACCGAAAGATTACTACTTCCACACGGAACTGAAGGCACTGCACAGCACTAAACTGGTGGCTAGTGGTTGCCAGAGGAACGTTGTTGTGTTGCTGTCGCTGCAGTCATCGTACGTGGACAAGCATGCGCATTGCATTATTTGCCACGCGCCATTTAAACTCCACGAATGTGACAACTCGACCGATCCTTATGCTTACTCAATGCTATTGCCGCAGAATAACAATCCATTACTCTTTAACAACAGACATTAATCGATGTATAGATTGGTAATGTAATTAAATAAATTATTTTATAAAATAATTTATAGAATAGCTACTAAACACTTTGTTGTCATCATTAGTAGCACATAACGGCACATTTGGATACGCGGTCAATTTTTAAAAGTAAAATCTTTTAACCGTGCTACTTGTCTTTCAGGGTCAATGAGTCAAATTTGAAGAGGCGGTAACAGAAAAATCAGAGGTTGGATGTATTCCCGATGACGAAGTGGAACAAATCGATCACACTTCTAAAATAAGAAAGATCACTATTAAGCATATTTTTGTAGGATTCATAACTTTATAAGTATTAACTTTATAAAATACTCTATGAAGCATTAATGAAACGATATAATCTTTTAGTGACATTTTTTATACAGCAAGAACTTCGTGATCAAATCGTTATACATATAATTATTTCAAAATTCTTAACAGGCATTTATCCAGGAATATATAGTATTTATCGAAAAAGATAAGTCCTATTCTATTGTACCAGAAGGGGCGTTTTGGGCGTCTGGGTTCTCAGGTTACCTTAGTTAGATAATTATTCTCGTTGAAAATGAACCGCGTTAACTCAGTCGACTTGAACACGTCGTTTCAATCTGCCCACGATGAGAAATCTCTTCTTCAACCTGTTCGTGTTAGCAATCATGTACAGGGATCACCTGTGGGTTCGGGCGATAGAGTGCAAAGACCTCGAGAGCAAATCCACAATGATGCAGCTGAGGAGACATCTTTTTTGTGATTACGATTATTCAATTAGACCTATCTTTCGCAAAGAGAATGTAACAACTGTCGAATTGAAGCTCGCGCCAAAGATGATAAATTTTGTAAGTTTATTAAATGTTTATCAATCATTTTCGTACTATTTTAATTTTTGGATTTGTTGCTTATGTATCTTAGGAGGAAAGCACGAATTTTCTGGTGCTACATAGCTGGCTGGCATTGGTAAGTCTGTGCAAAGAAATATACGTGTATACTTTCCTTTTCTTCTTACTTCAATATCAAGTATTCTTTTTGTATTTCTTCTTCTAGTCCTGGCATGACGAGCATCTTCGATGGAATCCAGCAGGATTTGATTCAATAGAATTGATTCACGTTACCTTTGATGAAATATGGCGGCCGGATATATCTGTCTACAATGCGTGAATAACTTCATATGAAAAATTATAGCTTCATAGTTGAGATTACAAATGTATACCTATATTATGTATGTATGATTTTTTATGCAGTGGGGAAACCTCCGACTGGACAAGTCTTCCAGCAACGCAATGCAGTGTCAATAATAATGGATTAGTCAACTGTTTACCAGAAGTAAAATACGTAACCCACTGTGATGCGGATTACACAAATTGGCCGTTTGACATACAAACATGTACAGTTCGTCTAGTATCCGCGTACCATATCGGAGAAGTAGATTTTCGTCTAATGGACGAGGGGGTAAGAAAATAAAATGATTAAAAACATTAAGAAAGCCTAATATATTCAAGACAATGACGGTGAATCCTTACATTCATGCAGATCACAATGCTACGTTACGTAGGCAGTGTAGAATGGAATCTTCTAAATGTGACTGTAACAAAAGAAATAATTCAACCGAAATGGTATCAAAACGACACATTATCAACTATCTCCTTCATATTCATTATAGAAAGACATTCCGGTATGATGGAAACTATTTACATCACACCGTGTATAAGTAAGTCCTCATCTTCAACCAATCATTTAAATTATGATATTTATATTAAACTTTCTTCATTAGTACTGATTGTGATGACATTGACGACACTCTGGCTGGATCCCAATACGGCAGAGCGAATGATAGTGGCAGTAATAAATTTTATCTGTCATTTACTGACCTTCCAGGACTTGCATTGGAATGTGCCACGTAATGGTCCTACTGTCCCACGCATTTGTTAGTAATAAATTAATAAATTAAATTAGATTATTATTCTAGATATTGATAACTCATTGATTGACAGTGATATTCTATCGGGACTCTTTGGCAATGGCTGGTTTTGCTATATTTCTGACAACGTTCCTACGCCAACTCCATGCGATAAGCCGACCAGCCCCAGGATGGATTTCGTCAATAAACACCTTCATACTGAACAATAAGGTTGGCCAGATCTTCTTGCTGAACACTCTCGATCCTAAAGCTTCTGCAGGACTTGAGACGGAAGCAGATGACAATTCTGGTCTTGTTCAATTGAGAACTTCGTCCCGGGATAATGATCAGTCTTGGTCCTTGATGGCCATCTTTATTGGACGTCTATCTTTCATAGGAGTTCTTCTGACCTATATCATTATGCTATTTCTTCTTTTGCCCGTAGTTACAGAGATCAGAAGCTATGATCGTTCCATAATGATGGGTAAATGATCACTTAAAATATTCATAAGTGGGTGACTCCACCAGTAAATGGAAGCATTCACATATGTATATTATATCTATATATAGTAACTTTAATACGGGTGCCCATCCACTGGAAGCATTTCATCAGGTGTTCATTCAGTGGTGGATTGATCCTATTAGCTTGACATTTTTGTGGTTATTCATGTTTCTGTTATTTTCTTCGTTATTAAATTTAGAAAATTTGAAATGCAAATTATTTTTTGTTGCGATAAATTTGTTATATCTGTTTATACTAAGAACATCTTGATTAAATATCATTAGTGTTGACAGAATGTTTGATCTTTGAACCAAATATGAAAAATAATAAATGATCGCTATATTTATCAAGCGATTTAACCTTATAATTGGAAATTGTAGAAGAGTTAAGTCTCATAACTCATTACAAAGAAATAATCGTAGAATATAAGCACTCCAAAATGCTGTATTCAAGTCGTGAAATAAGATCTAAAGTGGTATCAAGGAATCAAATTACAATAGCACCATCAGACTTTTTTTTTCGTAGAAATACGTTTATTTCCCAATACGCAACGTTTATGACGCTTATGATGTATTTATATAGATGTAGTGGATTTTCTTTTGCAATGTCATAGGTATGCATTACATTAATGTTTCCAGCATTAAAGAATTCTCGAGTACCGTTAGTAATACAGGTGTCTCTACTGAAACTTATAATGCAGCGTTCAAATCATTACGTTAATAAGTCATCATTGTTGCAGTTTTTGAGAAAACAAATCTTTCGGATGTTTCCTCACTTTTCTTTCTTATATATATCTTAACATTTTCGTTAAATCACGAATGCCCAGTCTAGGACCATTACATACTTTCTCACACTATGTACATATATGTGGGGTTGAAAGAGCTAATACTATCAATTGTCTTAGAACTTTTGGTGGGAAAATATGTATTGTTTACGTGAAATGATAAATGTCATGATATGATAATTCGTAAAGAAAAAGCAAAAAGGTTCACGTTTCGAACATAGGATTGCAGATGCTATATGGCAATGTAGAAGATACAGAAATCAAGTTGAAGCACAGTGATTTCTAGTTAAAATTGACCATCTTTGTTCAAGGAAATAAATTGCAGAAGAAATATATATATTTATAATACAATTGATGATGGATCTCGTTGACGTAGGACGGGAAGGTATCCTTAGGAATATAAGGATGTAGAGAGCAACGCAGAAGAAAAAAAAGTTCCCGTCAGCAAAAATGTCTTTTGTCTCACTTCCGTTAAATGAATGTTGTTTGAATGGAATCATCATGCCTTATAGTTTTGCTTATTTTTCATGGAGATTGATAGAGGAGATAATCCTTCAGCATGCGTGGCAGCGGCAGCGAATCTATTGCTGTTCTCTCAGTGTACTGTAATATAGCGTCACGACAGGCACTCTGCAATGTTGATACTACCAAAAAAAATGAAGATATTTGATGAATACATTGAACTCTTTATGAAAATTTATGTGCTACAATATTTATTACATACCACCATACAGCTGGACTACTCTAACTCGTTTAGTGGTGCCATATAAGTCTACCACAGCATGTAGTGGTCCAGTTTTGTATGGAATGTCTTTACTGCAAACACCTTGATCTTCTCCATTGATAATAAAATGCATTTCTGCTTTGTCAGATCCAGCTTGAGGTACGTACATAATTCCTATTCGACTACCTGCATCTGTAGGTAGGATGTTCCTTGAAGATCCTACTGTATTTGGCCTTAGAGCATTGAAAGGAATAATGCCACGGGATGTATGTACATTGACCCCGTCTGTAACGAGTTTCTTCTCACGGAGAGGTATTCCTTCACCTAGTTCAGGAAGAGCAATCATTAAGTAATTATTATATAAAACAGAGATAGACAACTTACCATAGCCAGTGCCATCAATGCCCTCAAAGCTGTCCCAAATGTTATGACACTTGGTAATTCCAAAAATCCAAGTTGAACCTAATCTTGAAAGATTTGGTAAAGCGTACTGTGGTAAAGCATTGCGGGGTATATCTGCTGGATTAATTTGTGTTAATCCAAGTCTCATGTGACCACTCCATCCTCGTTCAACTTTCTCAATCTCAACTAGGAATATTTCTCCAAGTTGTATGGGTTTCTCACTAAAGACCAATGCATCTGCAAAGCTAGAAGTTCGGCAAGCTACAGTATTGTCGTCTAAGACCCTTAAATTTCTTCCATGATTGGGATGGAATCTTGTGATTATTTTGCGTGATTTCCCAGCCATTGCAAAGTACACTCTTCAGTTTTTCTACTGATACACAATGAATTCTATCAAAAGGACTATTCGATGGGTATCCATGAGTTACTAAGAGTCGGTTGAGTTGACAGAGAAGTCAACACTCACAGCAACAATAATCACGACAATATTGAATTATTGAACTGATAGACACACGTTAACTAATCAGTCAAATCATTTGGCAGTCTCACTATACAGGCATTAAATTCCAAGTGTCAGAAGGGCTAGAGCAGCAAAATATTCGTAGCCCTTCCATCCAGGATTCAATCGAATAAAACCCTGGGATTGTTCGATAGCACAAGAATATTAGTTACTCTGAATTTCAAATTGTCACCTGCCTCAAGGCAGATAAAAAGGATGAAGTATGTACTTCTGTTTTGAAACTTTTCCTACAACACAGATTATAGATAAACCGACTAATTATTTGAAACTTTGATTTGTCCATTGGATGACATGTACACAAAACAGTCATACGCATAACCATAGGTATATAGGAATATTCTAAAGTCAAGTTCTTTAGTTTCACGAAGCATTGACAGGACGCGATAACCAAGGTATTCAAGACATCCAAGAAAAAAGGATACAAAAGAAACACATCACAAAGAACAATCAACTCCAATCGAACAGACTAGTGGATCAATTATCAAATCGCAAAACAGGATATACGACAAAAGTCTCCACAGAGTCCCATTTTTCCCTATTCTAGGGAAACTCTGGTAAAATCCCTAGAAGGCTGCGTTCCTTTGTTAACGCCCCGCCATTTGACAGTTACAAAAAAAACTTGTGTTCGTGTGCGTCCTGTTAGTTTTTCCTGGCGTCTGTCCAAAGTGCAAGATTTATCAAGGGGTTGCTCGACATTTTTAAAAATCCATCGAGTTGCGGAAACCTTATAAAGACTGTAATAATCGTGAAAGACCTGGGATACCGGTGAACGAAGGGCGATCGATCGACCAATCGCCGGCACAGAAACCGTTAGATATTTCCGTTGTGCGCGCGTTTAAACGTACCAGCGCACATTTATCTTTCGTGTACGCGACCCGTGCATCTTGCGTGCAAACGATCTACAGGACACGGTGAGTTATTCTAGATCTTTATAAGAACAAGATAAACGATATCGTTAGTAGTGTAACTGATATTCTACGTCAATGACTACATAGGATCCTTCCGGTTGCACGTAGCAAATCTATTTTTTTCCCTGCCAATGGAGGACCTCCGACGGTTAGCCTTTCCAACATCGTGGCACGTCGATAAAGCATTTAGAATAAGAGACGAGTGAACGTTATGTTTGAGCACATCGTACATACCCGTTATATTCTTCAATATGCATGAGTTACTTCCTTCATGGTTACATAGAAGTTTCTGAATTGTTAGGTATAATCAGAAGAATCTTCATCTTGTAGTTTTCCATACGGGGCGTTAGATAGGGTTGAGTGCTAAAAAAATATAAGGAAAAAAAGGTGATAGATACGACATTTAATTCGATCAGGTTTGTCTATTCTGGTAGCAGGTTTTGAGTGCAAGGGGTCATTGATAACGTGTGAGCCTGTTAAGGATTATACATTCTCTGGTGAATGATCTCATCATGATATACGTCATTCTCAACCGAGAACCGGCATTTCGATTACTTTGATAACTTTCACTCTATCCGGTTTGCTAGTGTCGCTAACCTTGAAATTTTTATGTCAAATTAGGTTTTACTAGAGGTGGTGAATCATGGCGGTAAATGTTTACGCGACGAACGTCACGACGGACAACCTGAGCCGTCATGACATGCTTTCCTGGGTTAATGACTGCCTACAATCATCTTTCACTAAAATCGAAGAGCTATGTACTGGTGCTGTGTACTGTCAATTTATGGACATGCTCTTCCCTGGAAGTGTTCCACTGAAGCGTGTGAAATTCAGGACCAATCTGGAACACGAGTACATACAAAACTTCAAACTATTACAGGCTGGCTTTAAGAAGATGAATGTAGACAAGGTGAGCTATCTTAGAAATATATTTCCTCCTTCAGGAGCATCTAGGCTATAACTGGTCAGCACGTTTATCCGGCGTTCCTGCCGGCTCGTTGCACTAATCTTGCAGCTCGTACTTGTAACGAGAGCACTGCGCGAATGGTTCAGGTAATACCGGTGGACAAGCTGATAAAGGGCCGCTTCCAAGACAACTTTGAGTTTCTTCAGTGGTTCAAGAAATTCTTTGACGCGAACTATGACGGCCGTGAGTACGACGCCTGCGAGGCGCGCGGCTGTATCCCTTTGGGTTCCAGCGTTGATGGTTCTCATAACTTATCCAATCCGCAATTGGTACCGCTTCCACCTCAGTCAAAGCAGCCACCGATGCAACAAAAGCACATTCAGCAGCGTAACGTCATGGCGAGGCAACCGCAGGGTACTCCAACTGCTATTTTGCCATTCTGGCACATATACGCATGTTCTTTTTTTTTTCGTTCTTTCCTTCGCATTGTCTCACCAGCCCTCAAGCCATTTGAAGGTTGTCAGGCTTCTGTGCTCTTTAGATATTTAGGTGTCGTATTTATGCGTTTGTAGTAATCCAAGATTCTCCTGAAAATGCTTCTAGATATATCGAACATATCATTAGTGCGTGACATGTAATTTTATTTGTTTAGACACTGCATTTTTTAGTTTTATGTATATATATTATACATATTTGTAGAGTGCACTGAATACACTTTGCTTTGTTTACTATAAGAAGAATCTTACAGACAAGAATGAAGATACTGAATGCATTGAAAACAAAAGAAGAGCTAAAAAATGCATTTTTATGAAAGATGCTTATGAGGCACATCTCATGGCACTACCCAGTGATAATATTAGATTTTTTTACTCTGAACAAAGTTTATCAGTTTATGTTATAACGACTGTTTATGTTAAGACTCACGCATAATCTGAGGATTCATAGGTGTGCAGTGCACTTTAAGTTGATACTCAGTAGTAGCTGTGGCATCAGAAGGAAAGTTTGTTATTTTTACCAGGCTAAAAATACATCCAAGCAGGGGGTAGCTATTTGTCCTAGGAGACACACAAATGTCTCTGTTACTTATTTTATTTTAATTGGCTAAACGACAATAGCGATCTTAGGATAGTGAATGTCAAGCTCGTGACATGGTGGTTATGTCCTTTATATGCTGGCAGTACAAAATTCTCATTTTGCCTGTCGAATTTTTATTTTTTCCTTTACTATAAATGGTTTGTTCACTACATGGAAATTATCATTATACAATGCTATACAATATTAAATATTAGAAAATATTAATAGCAATTCTTACAATTTCAATTTCAACAAATTCTCATTTATATTTTGTATTTTTCATTGTTAAACGTTCATACATTTTACTTTTTTAATATTGTTACTTACTGTTTGAAGTGGTTGACACTGGTTAATATTTCCATTCATAAATTCAATGCTTTCAATGAATTGAGCCTATGTTAGTACTCCTCTGTTAGTAAGGAAATCTGTATGTCTACGAGTCCATACAGAGAAAAGACACAACACATGATACATATGTCGGTTCAATTATCATAAATTACTCTTCATAAGGAATACATACCGCGTGGACGATAAGAGGATATTATTGAACCCTGAATAAGGACTCATTGCATTTAACCGGAAAATGAAATGACATTTCTTTCTCTGTTATCTTTACAGTTATGTTCATTATATTGCATCTTCCAACAGTGCAATTTCCTTTCGTTCATTAAGCAAATTTATTCATTTTTCAAAGTTAGAAAGGTTGGTCTAAAAAATCTGAAAATATACCAATACGCCAATTAAAGTAGTACAAGCAAACTCAAACAGAAGAGAACGTTCCCCTTCATAGCGTAGTAAGGGATGTCACCGCCAACAACGCAGGACTCGCCACTCCTAATACAATCTTGAAGTATTTACAAGGAATTGAAGTGATTGAAGTTATAGCCCAATGGAAATAAATAGAGTAAGAAATATAAGAAAGACAGAAAGGAAGAGAAAAAGAGCTACAGTGACCAGGGGCTAGAAGATAGAACCACACGTCCAAGAAATTGGTTCAGGGAGGAATGAGAGCTCTGAGCAGATTTATTTCATTGTATATTAGGAAGTTCGACACCAAATCCGCCACTCCTACAAATCGCCTACTGTAACAAATCTGTCAACTTCTAATACTTTTATTCAAAACTTTAAATTTTCAGTAATTGAAGTAATTCATTTTCACAATTCATCGACATACTGCGCCTTTTCAGGACTATAAATTCAAACAACGATCTACTCAAAAGTGCATCCAATTGTGTGGAAAACTGATCATCACTAATCTTCGTCAATGACAAATTATTATATAGATTACCGGATCAATTACCATCGCGGAAAATCGTGAAGATATTTTCTTACATGATTTGTTGCTAAAGGGAGGAATTTTATTTTACGGTGATTTTTGTTTTGTTCTATTTTTTTTCCACGGGCCTCGTCCCTCCTTTCCAGATCGTGCCAATCGATAGGTTGGTCAAAGGCAGATTCCAGGACAACTTCGAGTTTCTACAGTGGTTCAAGAAGTTCTTTGATGCAAACTACACGCGAACAGAACCTTACGATGCCTTGGCTATGCGCAATGGTGAAGCTATGGGCAGTGGTGGCAGTAACGCTCCTCGTGGTATCGGAATTGTCAAACGTAACCCAACGCGCGACATACCCACATCTAGACCCATCGCAAGAACCGGTACATTCGCCTGTTTATTTTTTTCTTTCGCCATTACTTTGATTTATATTCCTTTTAACAATTCAGAATTATGAAAGCAACACAAAGTGTGCAGAGAAGGGAGCACAGCTCTTTAAACAAACATTTTGTTTTTAAAACTTGGAGCACCAAGATTTGCTCACTAATCTGGCTTAGAAATAGATGGCAAGGCAACTAATTAATAATTATATTAGGACGGATTTACGGATTTAATAACAATGATTGGCATTATACTAATATGTCTCTAGTGAGACACTGTATATATTCATTGATAAGTAGGTAGTCATGGTTTTCTTTCATTATTTTTCTTCTTTTTTTCTAAATCATCAATTTTACCTTTCGATTGATCACAACCCACTTTAAGGTTTTTTGAGGTTATTGTTTTAATAGTCTATAACGAATATGCATCTGTCTAATGCAATGTTCCGGAATTTTTGTTTATTTAGAGAATATTCTTTGACACGTTTCTCTTGCGCGAAGTTACCTTTATTTTTTTTTATCTGAACACTAAGAAAAGCAGAGTATGAAATTGCCCGCAGGTGAGGGACCTCCGTCTCCTGTTCAAGCGCCTGCTACGAAGTCCGTAGGCAAGCCTAGTAATTATTATTATTTTATCATTGTTTAGTGGTATTCTTTGATTTTATAGATCCCATTTCATATTTCCTAATGGTCAGGATAACTGCCCGGTATTTATTTTTGTTCTCTTGAAAAATGACGTTTCTCCTTTATTAATCCGAATCTCGTGCTACACGACACGCAAGTTACTTTTCACGTTTGCATGGCTTTTTGCATGAAATATTTTTTCTGTCATCTTGTACATAGAAGCACATTATTCTTTGATATTTAATTATATAAATGTAAGTAGATGCCAATCTGATGATTGTTACAAACGGTTATCACTTATCAACAATTACCATTTCATACTTTTATCCTTCTATTTGTATACATTGTTGCTGTACCGCGTGTCCATAGTTAAAAGGTTGCATAAGCGTTGTGGGATATGTCACTTTTTCGGAGCATTTAAATAATATAAATTGTTCCATATGCAGTTAACAAAGTGCAGCCAAACCGTCCTGTGCCAAAAACTGGACCAGTTGGAACCCGAGGAGACCTGGGAAAGGTGGAGGAACTCAGTGCACAGGTAAATTATCTTTCAATATGGTTTATGTCTCTTTCTGAATTCCATCATATATTAGGTAATCAATAAACTTTTTGTCATTCTTTTTCTTATAGGTGATGGAATTGAAGATGACTGTAGATGGTTTGGAAAAGGAGAGAGATTTCTACTTTGGCAAGCTCCGAGACATCGAGGTAATGTGTCAAGACTGTGACAACGGTGATCCACCACCAATTGTGCAGAAGATCCTGGAAGTTCTTTACGCTACGGAGGTAAGGATCGTCGTTCTCGCCTCTTGTACAAAATTAAAACCCACGAGTCCTTATGATAACATGCAAACGAGAAACAGTTGGAGACATGATTTGAAAATGAACCACCATTATTCCGTACCATGCCAGACCCGTGTAATTCGAAAAGTAAAATTCCAAAACCGTAAAAGAAGAACAAGAGAAATTAAAAAATCCAACCTAATCGTGAAACAAAGCGGGCTGTATCGTTAAAAGAAACGCAAAAAAAATATGGAAATTTAAAAGAATTCGACAAGCATCCAAAATACCTCGGCTGCCTAACGATATTTTTTATTGTTAAAGAAAAATTCATTTTTGTTATTCCTACGACATCCCATTGCGCTGTGTTTTACGAACGAGTACGATGACGACGATCACCATTGATGTTTGATGATTGATGATTTATGATCATTCGTCGGGGCTCTCGTGGCGGGAAATGTTGACACTGTAATGATTTCAGGATAATGGGAATGGCCAGGAGGACGAGGAAGAGACCTATTAGCATCTCTTCTCGGTTATCTTTCATTTCCATAGCAGGTCACTCTTAATCGAAGGTAAAACTCCGTAAGGTAGACGTCCGCTGTCTGTCGGCAACTCCTCCTCGTTCGTTGGGCGCCTTGGATATTTGATTAACAGTAAACTTGGCTGGCTGGGAGGATGGTTCCAGCATAAACGCACCACTGTTTCTTTTCTTTTCTTTTTTTTTTTTCCTTTTTGTTTTCAAAAGCCATTGAATGTGGCACGAATCGCCACTCGTCGCGGCACGACGGACAATGTGTCACGACGATTGTATCTGCCATTGCGATTTATCACGCTAGACAGTTTTGCTGGGACTGTCACCAAATTTAGGGCGTTGTACCTACATTCTTTTTTTTTATATACATAGTTAGAGGGTTTAGCGGTTGAGGCATATTCTGTGATATTTTGTTGGTTATTTTTATTTTTTATTTGTATCTTATTTACTTTTGTTTACTTATTTAACGTTACGTACTCCCTTTAATACGATGGGTCCGATAAGGAATGCTGAAAGGCAAGATAAGATGATTTCTATGAGTCATTATATATATCATTTTTTTTATTTATTCTTGACTCTTCATCGGTATAATTTATTTATTGTTGTTTCCTCTTGTTAATATTATTCATCTTTTATGTAGGATATTTTGAGATATACAAGTATTAAGAATCTGCGAAAAAAAATATGATATTCGGTTCTTATCATTTTATGCATTATATCATTTTTATTTATTTATTATAGTGTCGAAGTATAACATTTAATACTTTAAAGCTTGTCTATACGTTCAAGCGGCCCTCGGTTAATTTAGAAAAATTAATTTGGCAACTTTCATTTTGTTCCTTTAATACTTTTTGTTTTACTACACCTATCAGTACGTCACAATCTTTTTTTACTACACAACTCTTTTATCTCTCTTTTATATTTCGGGTTTGGATATTGGCAGTCAAAGGTTTTGAAAGAAATCTAGAACAAATTTGAATAACATTGAATGAAATTTTATTTAGTTTTTCTATAACGACTGCCATCATCCTACTCCCAGTATTGTTTTACCTTTTAGTTGTCTATCCTATTTTTTCTTTTTTGTTCTCATAAGGTCTCTGAAACTTCTTCGAGTAGTACACGTCCGTCTTGTATGATAACGTTACAGTACTTACGGTAACGGGCAAACCATTGCAATTCATTTAGGATAATTGTCGCATTTTCGTTTGTTTCATTCTTAAGCATTTAATTGATACGTTCATTGATACGTATGGAAGATCTCAAAGCGTTAAGGACGTGTAAACAAAATTTATAATACAAAACATACCTGCATATACGTGTAGGTATAATTAATTTTTTGTTATGTGCATAGACGCATAGAGCATGGATGCTGGAAGATTTTGATCAGTGCGATAAAACTATTTTTTAATCTGCCCTAGCTCAAAAATAATCGGTTTAAAAAGTTTCAGAGCAACCGTGCTCTTTTAAATATTTATAACTAAAAACAATTGTCGGAGAATGCAATAGAAAAATAAATCAAAACAAATACACAGAAAAGTGATTGCTATAAAGAGAACTCATGCCTTTTGTATGTCATTCCAGGACGGTTTTGCACCTCCCGAAGAACTGGAGGGTGACGGGCTCGCACCAGACGACGAGTATTAATTCAAGTTTTTCTACGACCCAGGACACGAAGAGGAACAAGATCAGAAATCAAACAAGAACAACAATTATTGTAAGATCGAGAGTAACGATTGAGTGTGTTTTCGTTTGATTAAGTTCGCAAGCCAGTATCAGCAGCCCCTTTGCATGATTATTAATATTATTACTACTCTAAACTATTACTATTAAAGATTGTTGCTATTAAACTGGCCGTATTTGAGCGCGTCTCCACGTTAAAAGTCTCGTTCTCATCATCGTCGTCGTCGTCATCGATTCTTTTCATCTTGGTCACGTGACGGTGCTCATCGCGAAACCATTACGAATTGTTCGCATTTAATAGAAAAAAAAAAATACAAAAATCATAAACAAAAACAAATACCAATTTTAGAACGTCTCTCGATAGATATTTTCTCAAATTCGCCACGTTATACCCACGTGGGGTTGTAATGATAACGATGATAATACTAGAATCATTTTAAGAAATCATCCAATATAATGATTATTGTTAAAACAAAATTGGCAATGCGATCACGTTCCCTTCATCTCGTTTCGTATACATAGATTCTTCGCCAATTTCTCTCGAGTTACAATTAAGATACATATAGGTTATATTAGGTTAGGTTACGTAGGCGTTACTACATCCAACGTCATAGATAATCCTTCGACGTGTGAAGAGGATATTCCAAGATACGAGTGACATGCTTAGCTTGAGGTCCTTGCGTCTTTTTTTCTTAGATGTAACGGGCTTAACAAAATAAGGAAGGCAATCCATTGAGGAAGGTCCTTTCTTTTTTAAAAATATTTTTAGTCTCGCCTATCTCTATAAGCTGATTAAAAATTTTTAAGAGTTTATAATCCCATTGATAACCCGGAAGATGGCAATTGGATTTGGTAGATTTTACAAATTCTCGTGTAAAATGAAGGACCGACCTCTTCGTTGTGTGGCTTTCGCGAGCTTTCGTCAGCATTCGTAAATTTATCCTGAGCCTCTGTTGCTAATTGTTGTGCCTGTTAACAGCCGTCAAAATTTTTCACTGTACTCTCGTTTTCTCTTCTTTCGGTTCAAGTCACCAAAAAAATATGTATATTGCATAAGGATGCTCCTCTCTGCCAGAATCACTTAGGCAGCACGTAAGAAATAAAGAACCGCTACAGAGTGCGTTAGAAATTTGTCATTGATGGAAACTGTAATGGTCTGATTAGAGCGTACGATATATATAATATGTTTATATATATACATATGAAAATGGCGTGAGGATACCGCTTACGATTCAATTTTATACTCTACTCGCTATTTCGTATATTGGCCCGACAATGGCGGTGCACATCCTCGATCCTGCTTTTACTTGCAACTTTTAAAACGCGGAATTAAAATTAACGTCCACGCACCAAAAGACTTTGGAACGGACATGTATATTACGGGGATAAATTTCGAGCCCATAAGTTACTTGAGCGAAGGGGAAAGGTCTGGAGAAAGTGATGTGGCCTGATAGGGGTTGGTCAGCGGGTAAAGGAAAGGATCTGCACAGTTTAAGTAAATAATATCTCTTATGGATTGTGAATAGAACAAGTGTTTCCTCGAGCGCAAGGGAAGGGACAAGCAGAAGGAAATCTAAAACGTGTATGAGGATATTGAAAGTTTGTGGAGTTTAAAAAGAAAGTCTTAATAAATGAAAGAAACACACGCAGCATTCAATCACGTATCAATGCATATGTACACGCTGTGACCGATTGACGCGTGCGTACACGTACACACAGGACACGTTTTCCCATAATTAGGTGTATGCACGGATATGCGTACACGCACGAGACACATAATTGATCGCGTTTAGAAATTCGTAATTCTGACGTAGCTTAAGATTGTAAGTGCGCGTGATCGGACATAATGGGATGCGCCACTCGTCCAAGTCAATGAACGAATGAATGAGTAAATCCTTCTGTATGATGAATTGGAGCAGGAATGAATGATGGATTCTGTTTAGATGCGTGCGTGGCATTGAGTAAACCAATTAGAGTATGAAAACAAGTGAATATGTGCATGCGCGTGCCTATCTGTCTGTCTCTGTCTGTGTCGCAGAGTAAAACTGAAAAACAGATATACATATATTGTGTACGTTTGTCCTTGCGCTGTGTCAATTTTAATTTGGTGGATCTCTTGTCGATCAGAGGTCACTTGAGGATTGCATTTAAAATATGATTATTATGGAGGATCGACCATTGTTTAACGTCTGACTAGAATTAATTTCATTTATCAAGTATCATTTATTAACTTTTTTCTCCTTTTTTTTCTAAACAATTACGAGGGCTACTGCAGCGCTTTCTACTCTGTTTCTTTAATTCTGTCCCTATTGACTGTTTCTTAATGTCATTAATCAAGATCGTTAGCACGATTTCATTCATGTTTTAATTAGCCGAATAATGCGCGTCGCTTCTCGGCACATGCGTTCACATCATCACACATCTCTAGCGAGGTGCGCACACGTCGCTATTGCAATTTCAGCGATAATCTAATAAACGTTATAATGAGGAGTACCAAGTCAAGACACTTTGGTACCATCATTCGCTATAATGTTAGTTCCTAGTAGGGACACCATGGATTATATGATGAGAACAATTCCGAAAAATTGACAGGCTCCACCTCGATAAGGAAACGATCCAGATTGTTTAGATTTGCGAATCTGAGACGAAAAATTATCGCGTCGTAGAGCTTTTTGATCGTCCTTAATGGTTTTGGACCACGGTTAATTTTTCGGTTATTGCTGGGAAGACCCTCTCTAGCTGTAATGCCACGTTGCAACGTTTAATAAAAGTCATGTTGGGTTGTGAAAGGATGAATCCCGTTTGTGATTTAATTTTTAAATGGACTTTATTCAAATTTTTATCAAATCCAGAAAAATTGGTCTCCTGTCTCTGTGAAAATTCATAAATCCCATCCTGAATATTTACCTGTAAAAGCGTGCGTCGTAGAAATATGTAAGACGGCCTTTTCTTGTTACTGAACTTTGTAATTTATAAAGAACAGTTGTGATGTGAGAAGTAGAAAGGAATTAGTCTGAGAAAGTATATAAAGGTCGAAAGTGCCGAGAGAGGATTGAGTGTGCTGGTGGTATGTATATGACAAAATGGGAGAGTTTTGAACAACAAGGCGTCGCGACGCGGCTGAGTTTCTCGTAGGGGGAAGCACGATGCGAGAGAACGATAATAGTATAGAGGCTTGGGCAAAGGTCCTAAACGCGTCGCGACGTCTATTTTGCCTTTTCAGTATACTCGATTGCTCCTTGGCCCGCGGTACGTTTGGTTCCCCACAACTCGTATTCACTACTCTCAGTTTTTCCTGTTCTATATTTTCTTACTTTCTCCTTTTCTGCTTCTCGTTATCTTTCTCTCTGTCTCTCACTTTTTCACTCGCCTGCACTTCCCTATCCACTTTCCCCCTTCGAAATCATTGGTCTTTATCGGGTTCTCGTTTCCTTATCCTTCTCCTCTGATTCTTTCTTTTCCTTGCTTCTCTTTCATTGAAACTCACACGCTGTGAGTCTTCTGAATCTTCAGAAAGTTTTCTTGCTCGCTAAGAATCGCGTCGCTCAAGGAAAGTAAGAAGAGGACCCTTACCCTTAGATCGGGGTGGTAGAATCCGCTTAGGAATAGATAACGATACTCTGGTACGTATAAAAATTAATATCTGTCTATATTATAATACCTAAAATTATTATATAACGTAATCACACACTGGTCGTGACCTTCTATTTAAGTTTTCAAATAATATTTGACGTTGAATCACATGGCATGTAAACATTTAAGTACTTCGTTTCTAAGATACTTACACAAAACTAATTTAACTCTTCTTACTCATTATCGGTCCAATCATTGCTGCATCTCTGTAATTGCTTATTCCTGTTGATTAATCGGTCATAGAAATAACCTCAACTCGAGAAGGTATAAGATTGTCCTCTGCAGGTCTTGCTCAAATTTACAGATGATTAGTCGGCGTTTAACCGGCCAGTATTGTAATAGGAAGCCTGCAGGCGCGAAGGATTCTCTGCTGACTCCGATTGGTTCTCTCAGAATTGCTAACGTGCGTTTGTCCAACCGTTTCCATTCGAATTCGATCCAAGCGACCAAAACACGCGGAAAAAAGTTAAGTGATCAGCACGAATCTAGACTCGATGATACCGACGCTCGACGAAGTGACATTCGACCCTTTCAAGTTGCATTTAACGTGATAAGCCATTTACTCCACTGCGACGACAAGCAGCACGACGTTCGTCGTATTCGGGACGGGATTTGGCGAGCAATTTATTTCTTAAGAAATTAACTAGGTATGTGTTAGTTTACTTCATTTCTTTACGGACACTGTCAAATTTTGATTTCACACCACAAACACCTTGAAAGGCATAATAATGATTATGAATACAAATGATAAGGCATAATTGAGAGTTAAATTTTGAACCGCTTTTTCATTGTGATTTTACTTTGTACTGTTATTCTCTTTTGACGTCCAACAATTATATTTAATAAACGCATTTTCTCATGCCGGCATAATTTACAAACGGGATTAAACTTCAGGAATTTCTTACATATTGGACCTGTAGAACAAGTAAAATGAAGATAACAGCAGAAAATAACGTGATAGTTGCATTTTAAAAAAGTAAACAGTTGAAACGAGCAGGAAAAAAATGACTAAAGAGACAGAACGACAGCATTTAAATAAGCTGAACAAACGCGATACTGACGTCTTGTCATTACTAGACAGTGTTTAGACAAAACATAAGATGAATCAAGGCCAACATTTATTAGTATTATCATGAGGATTGTCCATTTTCGGAAATGACATATTATGTTCTGCACAATCTTGTCGTATTATTGATTATGTTATTCACGCGTCAATGGATGGACTTGAGAGGAGAAAATAAAAAAAAATGTTTTTCTGTGCGAGTCCGTGAAATAATTTTTCTCTAAATTTAACGATGGCTCATATAGTCTCTAATCGTGTAGCGAAGTTCACCCAGTCTTTTGGACTCTGTCATTAATTAGCGGATTATTAAATGTTGGTTAATGAGGAACGACGAATGCCACAGAGGCAACCGCGATTGACATCGCCGCTTCTTGATTATCGCCATCACGTAAAAATTTTACGTAACGAAACGACAGTTCGTAATGAACGCTGATTCCTTCTGTTGCACGAGGCGATAATATTTCTTATTTATTGGTTAACGAATATCCGCCATCGCCAATCTGTATTTACGGATGCGACATGATAATTTGTAACTGTTTTATTTTAGAGTGAGAGTAACGGAAGATTATCGAATTTTTTAGTGGTCAAGAATGAGAGAGGAGAAAAAAGTTTTCTGATGAGATTTTTGTACTCTATGCACATGGACTTATTAGGAGCCGTGATAACCTATTGGGACTCGTATATTTTAATCGATGATTAACACTGAAATATCTTGTACGGGAGCATAGCAATATCTGTTCTCTTTATGTTCTTTCGATATTTTCAACTATGCACCAATCAAGTCGTGCTCACTTGTAGTTGATATTTCAACCGCCAGGATAGCGCCAGGTGTATCTCTCGGGTATCAAGCATTCTGTTATTAATTTTATTAAAATCTCGTTACGTGTACCATTATTAATAGCCTACGTATTGAAACGTCGATAAACGTACTTTCTTTATTCATACTTTGATTCATTCCACGAGGTCTCATTTAGAGCAGATAAAAAGACTCAGAAGAACTTTACAGTTTCTTCATTGACTAATTTCTTTTTTTACAAAGTTCTTCCCATAGAAAACTTTTCTTTTCATACGACAAGATACTTGTGGCTATAAATACTAATTGTCGTCGATGATGTCGTCGGTCATTATAGTTGATTGGTTAAGAAATAAAAGAAGGCGAAGAAGGATTGAAGCATTTTTATCGTTGAGCCGAAGCCCAGAAATCTGTTTCTGCTAAGATGCCATTATGGGAGTTTGTATTGCTTCTTGATACGACGGGGTCGTGGCTTCTCGATATCGATTATCACACGGCTGCTTTCTTTATTGTTTTTATTTATAACTGACTCATTTACCGCTACACCATGTCGCTCGTATTTAATTCACAATTACTTACGACTGATCGGGCATCTGAGCCTACGATGTGAAAAAAAATGGTTTTCTTATCGTAGAACATAGAAGAAGAAGAACATAGAAGATAACATTTTTAACGAATCTTTTAAGTTATTAGATTCCTACTTCTTCGTGTTTCAGATCCAGTTGAAAAATGGCAGTTCAAGAATCGTCGGTGTCGGTAAACATTCGAGGATTACAGATAGTCCTTGTAAAATCTTTATTATTATTTGCTACTAATTGGTCATTCATTGACAGGTGTCTAACAGCACAGTTTCTAGACTCGGAGAAACTATTGTTGCGAGTATCGAATCTGCAGCGCGTTTACAACTGGTACAAACTCTTTTGAAATTGACCGATCGTTTCTTGTGGATCGTTGAAAAATCAGCAGAGTGGAGTCTGCCCGTTCAAGAAATCACTACCGGTATAATGATTGGACATTGTTCGTGACTATTATATTATTAGATGTTACTTGAATTGCTAATATTTAATGTTTTAAAGAGACAAATGGAAAGACCTTTGGCAAAATGGAACTGGTTAGACCACTGCCGTGGATCTTTTTTTTACCCAGTTTAATTATTCTACGCGCTATTAGAATGGGGCTTAATGTGGGAGCATTCGTCCTGGGTTACCCAACAGTGCAGCCAAGCGGAATGGTTAGAAGATTAATAGACAAGAATTATTAATTTTGTCGATTTTCAATAGAATTATTAAAATTTCGATACAAGAAAAGCAGCAAGCAAACGATAGTGTCAAAAAATGAATGATTATATATATTTTTAGGTAAAGTTGATACAAAAAAGTCGCAGGCGTCTACGAACAATAAAATCAAATGGTTTACGAATAATACGACAGCGTAAAGTAACTGCAAAGGTCAGTATTAGATTAACGATACAAATGATTATAATTTTTCGTAAATTATCACTGATAAATAACTAAAGGACCGTAAATTGAGCGAAGCGAAGACCAGCCTGATCAAGTCGATCCTAATGACCTTATCAACCCTTTCCTGCTTGGATAGTTCTAAGAGAACTCCATCGCCTCCGCCAACAAGAATTCGAGTGCGCAACAATCCGGAAACAGTAATTATCTGAATCCTAGAGGCTTTCTAATGAAAAATAGCTTCCCTGAATATTTGATTTCATTTAATTATTCAGACACCAACACCCGAGGAACAGTCTACTACAGAATCTGCGACGAGCCCCATAGAACATTCGGATGCAAAACGAAAATATTCTGAGGCCAGCGAAGATGATCAGACCTCAGAGGTTTCACAGGATGAGACGGTTTGGTCAAAGCTTGAACAGCTGGGAATAGACGATTCATTGAATGATCAAGATTTTAATGTGAGCCATTGGATATTTGTTCTATAATACTCGCATGCATAGTCGATTGTAGGCACAGTGACTAAGAGTTGTAAATTAATAGCTGCTATCATCATTGTGTATTATACACTGTATGCACATTATGTCAAGTGAAAGTAGCGTGCAAGCTCGGTGCATGTGCACTTGGAATAATTACTAATTGGTAAACTTAAAGATCAAAGTAGAAAACCTTGAGAATTGACCTCTAGTCGAGTCAGGATGATAATGGGGATACCGCACCTCTTTTTCCACAAGATGAAGCGTATTTTTAATTCTCCACTCGAATTGATTATTGGTGACTTGTATTTATGTAGGAGTCAATTAATAGATTTTTCGCTGATACAACTTAAGTTCTGCTCTTATCAAATATAATGAGCTTGTAAAAGTCTGATTGATACATATTACATGTCAGAAATTCGTATTAGGTATTGATTATTTATTTAAATATGTTTATCAGCCGGCCGAGTGTTCTGTTACCGATGAAAACACAAGTTCCTCTGATCCTGAAGATATTTCACTGAACGAATTGCATGATATTAAGGAAGATCAAGTTTTGGCATTTTCACATGGTAATGTGTCTACGGAAGTCATTAAAGAAGAAACAGAAGTGTTTCATGATTTTGTTGGACAACAACAGGTAAAGGAATAAGAAGATTAATTATTAATATCTACTTGTCAGGCAATAAGTGTCATTTTTTAGTGGAATTATTGAAAGTATTGTCCGATTAATCTTAATATTTATGTGCATATAGAGCGTGGATGTCGATGAAACATCTGTAGAAGCAAAATCCTTGCAAGTGACGCAAAAAGAAAGGGTTGGCGAAGAAAAACAATTTCTATCTCCATTACAAAGTAATGCAGATGGAGAGGCAGATTTTTATTCGCCAATCAGCTCCAAGAGCGCGTCGCCTGAACGATATGTGATATCATCATCTGAAAGTGACAGTACGTTATCATTCTATTCACTGAACCTGTGTCAGTATACCAAGCACGTATATCTGTTTACGTATGAGTCTGTAGTTATTTTGTTAGTTTTGTTCTTAGTAGTACTTGTTATCTGTACTGGATGCTGTTTGTATAGTTTCACGTTTACAGGAATTGAAACCAAATGTCTAAGCTCTACAGAATTGGTAAATGTTACTAACACTGATATCCAGTCATTGGAATCGCCAATTATAAATACCGGTACGGAGATGGTTCTCTATTAAAACAAATTTAATACAATATATATAATTAATCAGTGTACCACGTTCAATTTGCTCGTACATGTAATGTGGTTACTGATAAGAATAAATTTCAAAGATTAGTTTGTCATTTTCTTAAAATAGGTTTGGTAGCAGAGGAAGCGACAAATGGTCATGCAGTGGATAAACGGTCAGTTGGTGGGGTCAAGGGTCAGTCGAAGGGAAAACGTGCAAATCACGGAAACCGTAAAAGAAAGTAACCATCGAAACTGTCCAATGGTGAATTATGAGAATTTCATTGCTGACGATATGGACTAATGAACGAAGCTCGTACATAATCATACGTCATAATTGCACACGAGAGACAGTATCAGAATTTTCCAATCGCTTAGTTTTTCGACTTCTCATGGAAACTAAAATGGAAAAACTTTTCGCCGTAATAAAAATGCATTATATGGATCGATCAGAGCATCCAGAATGAGGGGTAAACGAGCAGAGTCGACCAAACAAAATCATAAAGATAAACCATGTCTCTTCGTACTCATCTATCCCTGTGTAATTATCTTGTCCTCCTTTGTATTTCAGTACTTTCATTGTTACTATATATAGATGCACCTGTCTTCTATCCCTTTTCATGCACAATTTTCTAATCGCTAAACATATCATTTTATCTGACTAATCATATTTTTAATACTTTTTTTCTTTTCACTTAAAGCAGATGCATTCTCAGCCATATACTTATACGTGTACTATGTACAATCTTGTGAGTGCTATGTGGTAAATGAAATATTAATGTACATGAGATAGCTATGCGGTTGATCATTATAGCATTATAGAGACCGAATTTTTGTTTGTTTCTTAGTTGTATGGATTTTGCTTTAATAAATTATTTAATGGAACCTCTGAGTATCGTTCAGTGTTCCATTGCGGCGATGAGAAGGTTTTACAATTGATGAGCACATTTGAAAATGGTTTGTCCACGTAAACATATACATATATTTGGAACGTGGGCAATACGCGATTAAAACAATTGAACGAAAATTATTATTCAGCAAAAGTTCAAGTGTAGCTTTAATGAAATGTTATTCATTTAATAATAGTAAACGTAAAATTTGTAGTATCATTAATACTTATGAGGAAATAATTACATAATAATACATGAGCATTTACTTATTTATAAAATTATAAATATTTTATTTCATTTTTGTACGAATGCAGTTTATGTTACTTTCATGAAGTAATTAATTGTAGTTACTTTAAAATTTGTTTGATACTCGAATTCTTACCAATGGCATCGGAGATGCATGTAAATCCATCTTTCTCGATTAATTCACTTAATTCTCTTTTTATGCGGCTAATCACTGGTGGTCCTTGATATATAAATGATGTATAAATTTGTATTAGGGATGCACCAGCCTTGATTTTATCATATGCATCACTCCCTGAGAAAATACCCCCAACCCCAATTATTGGAATTGAACCATGTGTCCTTTTATACATGTCAGCTATCATCATTGTTGAGATTTCTGTTAGCGGAGCACCACTTAGCCCACCAGTTTCCCCTTGGTGAAGAGTTTTAAGATTTTTTCGTTCAATGGTAGTATTAGATATTATAAGCCCATCCACTTTAGACTTTGAATTCTGTACAACATCAGCAACATCTTGTCTTTCACTATCAGTTAAATCTGGAGCTAATTTTAATAATAATGGTATTTTTCTATGGAGAGACTGCCTGGTTTCATTTACTTTGATTAATAAATGCTCTAGATTTTTCTTATTTTGCAAGTCCCTCAATCCTGGTGTATTTGGACTGGATACATTGATTACAAAATAATCAGCAACATCGTTAAATTTCTCAATGCCATCAGTGTAATCCTTAGTAGGATCAACTGACAGTTTGTTTTTTCCTAGATTTACACCAATAACTCCAACAAAATGAGGATCATTTCTTACAGCTTTTAAACGTTTCCATACTGATTCATGTCCATCACTATTAAATCCATATCGATTTATAATAGCATTATCCTCTTTAAGGCGGAATACTCTTGGTTTAGGATTCCCAGGCTGAGGTTTTGGTGTAATTGACCCTAAAAAAAGGGATACAATTTCAGGAAGATGAAACTTATTAAATTACTCAATAGAAATTCTTACAACGATTACCAATCTCAACAAAGCTGAAACCCATTTCATGCAATCCTTTCACAGCCTCTCCTTGTTTGTCAAAGCCAGCTGCCATTCCCAAAGGATTTTCAAAATCTATTCCCCATAAACTAGATTTTAAAATTGTGGAATCCTCCAATTTTGGCGCTCCCCTAAAACCCCATTGAATAGCATTTATAGCAAATTTGTGAGCCACTTCAGGATCCGATAATCGAATCAATGGCATAGCAATTTCATCATAAAATCTTTCATTGCCCTGGTAAAGGCATACACCAGTAAATATTGTGGCTGCACTACTGGTAACTCTTAATAATGATTTAATCTTATCTTTAGTAGTGAGACGTCGCGCCATTTTTCACATTAATACACAATATAAAATAAAAATACAGTTTTCCTAGATTTGTCTAGGCTATTCCATTTGCTACTCATTTATGGATGGTATTACGTGATAAAAATATTGCTATGGTTAGTTCAAAGACCTCAAGTAGTGTAGCCATTAGCTATAATACAGCACAAGGCGACGTCTATTAAGCCCGTTTTACAATAGGACATTGATGGTGACGTTTGTGTAAGCCAATCAGAATTATTTTCTTTGCTTTTTCGCTGCTACGATTGGCTTGTAGAAACGATTTACGACAAACTTTTACCAACAATGTCCCATTGTAAAACAGCCTTTAAAGTTTAAAGGTAATGTAGTATCACAGGTATGAAGAAGATCATCTTCTATCTAATATTACTCCATGATTGATTTTGTATGACGTTTCTTCGCTTTTTATTTTTTATCCCGATTAGTACTTATGTGAAAAGATAGGTTATGTTCTATACGTCACCGCAATATGAGTAAATCATTTGATGAATTTAACGATGATTCTATTCTATACGAATTATTAGAATATCTTATTCGAAAGCAAGACCCAGAATTAGCGGTAAATATACTACTTGACATATAGATTTAGGAAATTTATTATTAGAATGTTTGTTATGACTTTTCAGTTGCATTAAACTAACTTTCATGTATGTGCACTCTTTAGAAATGTAAAAGCGATGCTGCGCTTTTGCCAGCAAGTGGTACTATTAAGAATGCTCTCCGATATCTAAATCAAAGGTATTCTTTACCAGAAAGTATCGGACAACAAATTAGTCTAACTTTACCATGGAAATTCACAGTTGGTGATAATGGACGGTTGTTAGCCATTTTACAAGAGCATTTAATTGAAATAAGGAAATCGAAAGATGAATATTCTTCGGTTGTAGCTAAAGCATCTGGTATATAAGATATATTCTCTGATAACATATTACTGCCACTTGCTATATATTAGTAATACGTCATATCTTAAACGTTGTATTTCAGTTCCAAAGGATGCCTTTCCACAGTGGCGTAAGATTGTTTGGAGTCCAGATGGCTCCATTCTGGTATTGGCTTCCAGTAATGGCTATATATCATTTTATAATTCACTTGGCAATAATATATGGAATATAAGCCCAAAAAATATTTCTCAAAATCCTCACATCTTGGAAGCCGGCGATGCAGTGGCTTCTATGATATTCATAAATTCACGAACTAAAAGTGACAATTGGACTTACGAATTTATCTCAGTTACATATAGCGGTTTATTGAAGTCTTATCATATTTCTGGAGATGGAAGATTTACTGAAAATCACGAGTTTTCCTTTGGAAATTTTTATAAGAATGGAGTGAATGCTGTTGCTTATACAGAAAGACATAATCTACTCTTTGTAGCTGGTAACAGCATAACACAGAAATATGTATGTTTTTCAATGAACATATGTTAATTACTCATTACATATAGGCTTCAACGTAATATATATTCCAGGGTGCTGCTTCGGAAACAGGCCTGAGCTCATGGCGTCTTTTAAACGACTATCCTTATTACAAATTGTCATTTACCCACGAAGATGATACTGCAGGAAAATCTGCGTTCTCTTTGTGGAATTTCATTCCAACAATGCATTCGCAGCCTCAATCAATTATATTTAAGATAAGCATTTCACCGAAAGGCGACCTAATGGCATGCATACATACGGATGGCTCTATTACATTGTGGAGTTTACCAAATTTAAAACTGCTAAACAAATGGAAATTAACAGAACAACCAGACTATAATGCGCGTAATCCTCTTGGAACAATGAAGTACAAGAAATTTCCATTAGGTACATCTGAGTTTTATCCATTGGATATTGGTTGGTGGTCGGACCATGTAAGTATCACTAAAGCTTGTTTCCTAACAGGATATATTAATCGTTATGAACTCTTAAAGATCTCATTATTTCAGGCCCTCATAATAACAAGATATTCCGGTTCGATTTCCGTATGTTCGATTAAAGATTTGCGAAATCTTCTGGGTACGAGTCCGGAGTTTCTAGCTGGTCAGCCACAGATATCTGAACTATCTCCAGGACGTGGTTGTTTGACTTTAGATTGCGAGACACTTTTAACGAGCAACAAACGAAAAAGAGATACCAATAATGGTAAGTAAATATTTTACAATTATTAAATCGATCGCAAATCACAAATATTTATAATTAAATTTACAATATTTTAAAGAAACGGGGTCAGACAGTGACAAGGAGGAGGATGAATTGGAACCTATTACTGTAATGAGCTATACCACAAACCTAGTCCAAAGTGCTTTATACTCAATAACCGATATAGAAAGGTTTCAACCAAAAAGAAAAAAATCTAAAGTTCTCCATAGAACATATAGAATATTAGGTCTAAAAAGTACTACTCCAGAAGAACTGTATTCAAGAAAAATTGATATTGAGGTATGTACAATGTCATAGAAGCATAAAATGAAAATTACTTATTTTTAGTATAGCAGGATTAAGATAAGAGAATGGTACATTTATTTCTATAGGAATATGGGGAAGCACTGGCTCTGGCAAATACATATAATTTAGATACTGATTTGGTCTATCAAACTCAGTGGCGTAAATCGGAATTCTCTTTAAAAGCCATTCAAGACCATTTGAGTAAAGTTCGTAAGAGATCTTGGGTTTTGAATGAATGTGTGATGAGAGTTCCTGAAACTTTAGAAGCTGCTAGAGAGTTGCTCTATTTCGGATTAAGAGGTACAAGTTTAGAAACACTAGTAGCAATTGGAAAGGACGATGATGGAAAGTTTGTACCTAATGAGATGAATAAAGAGACAGAAGATTTAGATCTGAGAAGCTCAAATTTGATACAGGTAATGGACGATTAGTGACAGTAGTTTGATAGCAATAATACATATTCGCATACTCTAGGCGCAAAAGGAGAATAAAATACTCGAAGAACTTGATATGGAACATTTGACAGAAGGACAAAAGGATTTGATCAAATACAGAAGAAAATTGTTCGATCATTTAGATAAGCTGCAAACTTATGAAATAATTTTGGAATCTCCAGACGCGTACGATAAAACTTTTTACGAAGAATTTCGTCAAAGAACAGCTATCGAAAATGCAGTCAGGTGCATAAAAGTGAATTAAGTAGTACAGGCCTAATTGTAGAACTCAATGTCACACTTTTCATTTTATTCCAGATTCGCAAAAGACAGTAACTACCAAGGTGTCGAAATAATGATAACATACCATGGCGAAAAATTAATGCCGCATTGGTTAGCCATCATTAGCTTCTTTCCGGAAACTTTAAACCCTTTATATTATCAAAAATTATTACCAGAATGTGATAGCGAAGGTCAGTTGTTTCTACTTGATCGACGAGAATTGCGTCAAAAAGATTGGTCTGATAGGCCACAATTTAGCAAACTCATAGGTGAAGATAATGAAGATGGATCAGAGTTTATATATGATTGTGACATGTCGTTATCTGCATATAGGTAAGTACAGGAATTATTATTCGTTTCATAAAAAAATGTTAATTGGCAACTTTTACAGAAATACACAATACACGCCGGAGTTATTACAAAAGTGGTATAGATCGCGTGCCTATAAAATCGAGAGCGACAGCTCGATAGTGGATAATGCGTTGGAGCTTGTAAAGCTTGGAAAAGCACGAAATATAACAGGCTTAGAAAACTTGCTACTGGAATTAGAAACATTAGATGATCTAATATACAAGGTTTACTTAGAGGACATGACTCTGGCTCGTTTGGAAAAATTGACTGATTTAGAAAAAATGAATTTACTAATGAGTACTTCTGATCAGAAAAGTTTCGTTGTCAATATAAAAAATTTCGTTTTGCCTTTCATCAAAAGGAAACAAAAATATTTGGTACGTATTTCATCCTAAAGATATTGTAAATTGGTACGAATCGAATAAAATATTAAATTGTTTTTTAATAATCAGGGTGGAGAACTCAATAAATATCTGCTACACGATTACTTGGTTTCACTAAGTAAAGATGATTTAACACTTCCGGTTAAATTCTTTGAGTATGTCAAACAATCTCATGATATCCAAGTCGTCGAGATGATAGACGATGTTGTCACACTTGCTTTGGATTGTATTTATTCCTGTCATGAACCTGACATGTATGATATGGCAAATGAAATTTTTGAATCTATTCCAAAACATGCCAATGACACTGGTGCAGAAGGAGGACTGATTGATGACTTAGAAAGGGAACTTGATTGCCTAAAGATTTTAAACAAATATCATGTGAAAACGACATTGAATTATATTAAACAAAATAAAAATAATCCAGAAAACGTCAAGTTGCTCTTAATCCAAATGGCTAGGAGCTTGAATAAGGTGTAAGTGAAAATTCTTTCAAATTTCTAATATCCAGTTCATGAGACGTTAATAAGATATTTTACATAAATGTTTATAATTATTTGTTTGATAGTGAACCTCCGGCGGATGAACATCTGTGGGCTCAATTATTGAATGATATGTTGGAAATACATAGCACAACTTTTTCCTGCATTGATATTGAAATATGCTTCGAGATATGTGTGTCCGCACGATTAGTGTCAGGAATGAAGTCGAATATCCAAAATTGTGCTAATTTAATAGAGACAAAGAAAAATGAGCAATCCTTATTAAAAGTATCATACGAAAGGGCTGTTGAATTAATTTTACAAGCGAGCTTTGAATACTTTAACAGTTCAAAGAGCCTTACTGATTCTAATATGGAACTGGCCAAGTAAATATTAATTTTTAATTCATCGATAATCCCAAGGCTTATAAAATATGAAATTGTTCATGGATTAATTTTAGAACGTCTCTTCATCTCATTACGGATGATAATCCACGTATTAAAGAGGAATATGATCTAATTAATTCATTACAAATTCTAAATGAATTCAATGTTAATATACTACCTATACAAGTGAGATTGAATCAAGACAGACTCAAATTAATAGAGAGTTGTTTGAATTGTCGGGGCGATGCTTATAAGAGTAAGCAAAGATTATTAACATTAGCGAATTATTTGAGAATTGATAAAAATAATACGAGAAGTCGAGAAGGAAAAGTATTGAAATTAATAGCCGAGAAAGCTTTTGAGGTAAATATTTATTGTTCGTAAAATATGTTATAGAATTTAAACGGGAATGTATCTTCTTTTGTAGCTTGCAGATTACGATGTTTGCACCTCAACGTGTCAACAATTAATCGATAACAATTATTCTCTCGCTTGGAGAACCTGCATGAATTTAGGATATTGTGAGGATTTTCAGGATTTGAAATTTAGGCAAAAATGTCTCTGGTTTGCCATGAACAATTGTCCTGACGATTTACTAGAGGAAACATTGAAGCAAAAACATTTGTTAGAAATCCAAATTTTACATAAAGATTTACAGAATTGGATGCCTGAATGTGACGAATCCTTTGCAACTGGAGCTGATAGTGAAGACGAATTCACCGATGCAATGACTACGGTAATTAAACATTAGATTTAAAGGTAAAGAAAATCGTGAAAACAAAATTTAATATTCATATGTTATAGCCACAAGTTGAAACTAAAGAATTTGTTCCAAATATCATTGGAACATCAACTGAGATAGTTAAGAGTTCTGCTGAACTTGTAACGAGGTCAACGTTTAACATCATGAAAAACGTGGGGAATAAAGATTTTTGGAAAACAACATTAAATTTAGGATTTATGAGCTCACCCGACAATACAGTACATGATAGACATGAAATTTGGGAGTCAGAGAGGGATCGAATAGCTCAAAGTTTTCCATGCTTTTATGAGTCACTGCACGAAGGATGCAAAATTAGTAATTTTGATGCAGACTATACTAAATATTCTTTGCAAAAAATAGAGAATGTTAAATTAAAGTTATGCCAAACATTATTAAGAGTGGCTGTCTTAACTGAATCAGCATGTTACGGCCTGGAAGCTAGTGATATTAATCATTGTAAGTAAAATATGTTTTATAGCCTTCGTGGGAAATACTAACTTTTAATTTTAGACAAGATAGAGTATTAAAAGTTTTAATGAAACAAAATTTAACAGCGTACACATAAATTATGGATACTACATTTATTTATAATCTTGTTTCAGTATACCTAGAGTGCGCGGAGCACACAATCATCCATGATTGCTTATTAGGCTTTGCTTATTTGTTGTGTCTTCGTGACACTGAAATATTATCTGCTGAAACAGTTTTTAATAATTTACCCCGTAACGAATTATACGTTCAGTATGCAGCCTACTATTACGCATTGATACTATACGAAAAGTTGAATCAAGATTCTACGGACGTGTATTATTACGATCCATTGAATTTAATTACCGCCATGGTAATAGCCGCTAAAAAAAATCATGAATCGGATATTGGAGAAGCTTTAATTCGTTGGCTATCATATTTATCCGATGGAAGAAGCTCAGCTACTGAAGATATAAATATTGAACAACCCATATCAAAAGAAGGCGATGCATTTAAATTTGACGTAGCTTCTCCGGTAGAGAAAAAAGATGCTATTACAGATGAAAATGCGTTGTCTACCGATAAATTAAAAGAATCTGAGATCAGTGATAAATTCAAAGTATTGTCAACTAATTCGGAAGAGGATGCTGGATGGAATGACACCTGGGATGACTTTTCTGATCAAAGTGACGAAGAAGATAAAAATAAATCAGAAGATACTGCAAGTTCTTCGATACTTCAATCAAGCAATGTCACCGTGCCTGCTGATGAGAATTTCACGGAAGAAGAACGTTTCGAGTATTTTCAAAGAATCATTAGTACAACACAAAACGAAGAACAGTATACAAAAGCAAAAGAACTGTTGCTAAGGTGGCCGAAATTTACGTTTCCTGAATTTCTCACAGTAGATAAGCATCCAGCGCTTAAATTGTTAGAAATAATATCGTTGGGGTTGAAAGACAACAATGACGAAAATGCCGAATTACAAGCGTTGCAACAGTACAAAGACATCATGTCTAAACAATTGGTACCTAAAGATGTAAGACTCATATTTTGATTTTCATTTAATGAACGTAATTTGATCATCGTTATTGATAAGTGATAATGCTTTTACAGTTACTGGTAGAATATCTCAAGAGAAAAGAAAATCAAAGACTTTTAGAGTACGACATTTTCTTGCAACTATGTACCGATGACCCAATATTACATGAAGAAGCAATCAAGATAATCAAAGATAAGCATAAGGTACGTTAGAGCATATTGAACTATGTATTTTTAAGTCATATAAACCTATCACTGTTTCTTCTAGAACTTTAAACTTCTGCCACCGTTACTACGAGAATTGTTCTTTAAGAATCTGACGGTATCTTTTGACACTAGTCATCCAGTGTATCATAAGATATTAGAAGAAGTTTTTTCAAATTGCAACCGAGCAGATATTGTAGAAAATGTAAATATTCTGATACATAAGCTGATCGAACGTAGAAACATCATACATGCAGTGGCGCTACAAAATCAATTAGCGGTGGTACCGCCGTCATTAGCAACCTTTGAAACTGCGCTTGGTTTATTAATGAAGAAATAAGTTTTAATTAAGGATAATGACGCTGCCCATGGAACTTTTTAATAGCAGCAATAAATTTATCTTTCTGTAATAAGGAAGGAGGAGTTAACTTATCAGTATATTATTTATGTTACTTTATCATTAATAGTTATTATTACACAAAATTTGGGAAGATTTCATTACCGAGCGTAATTAGACAATTGAAAAAATTAGAATTATATACATCTAAGTATCAGATATATATATATGTATATTGTGCTTCAGATCAATATTTGTACATATAAATTTGTAGTAAAATAAAAGTTGTTTATATTTTTGTTGTCCTTAATACAGTTCATTATCGTTATACAAGAATGTTTACAGATTTATGCTTTATATTTTCGTTATTACATTTTTTTTAGAGATTTTATAATCAACAAAATCATGTAATTGCATAATTATGCGAACATACCAGTACTGCACCAATTACGTGCACAGTACTGATATATTCACAGCTGACTGAATTGCGATACAAGAATCTATGGAATCTTAGAACGAAGATGCATATAGAATCTTAAAAATAGATCAATGAATGACTTGATTATTTTCGTCTGGAAGACACATTCAGTCGAGTGCAACTACACAAATTGCGAGCATACTTGCAGAATATCCTATCTTTTTTATCCCCCACTTTTTTCTTTTAGAAAGTCATTGATTAAATCCGCATATAAACTCCCTCCGTTACCACTAATTCTATCATGACTCTATCAATTACGCAATGTTTTAGCTCTGGCTGTTATATTGCAGATTGTTTTGCATTTCAATACACAATGCAAGAATAATATTGTTTATTTTAATTAATCAATTTAGATAGATAAATGAGAGGTATTCTAAGCTGCACGCGACAGTCACAGTAGCGTGTTGCAATTTGTCGTGAAAATTCAATATCCATATATGTAAGACATTGCAGAGTGGAATAAACGGATGCGACGTCACGTGAATATTTCACATATTTTTCTTGTAAATTAATTTAGAGCGTACAGAACTGCTTTCTGGACGTAGCTGCTGGCCGGTGAAAATTCTCTTGACAAACAACCCTGTCTACCCCACAACTGGGGAAAAGGGAAACGGCCAAGAGGAATGAGAGGGCAGCAGCCAGAATGTTGAGACCAGCGAAATGGTCAGCCGTTATCCGAGGCAGCTACTACTTGCCGCTAGAATTCCTCAAGTTTGCCGAGGGACAGAAATTAGTCGAATTAGCGTAATTGCTGAAATATGTGTTCGCCCGTTAACGTGATGGCGTCCTCGTTACCTTTCCAACGGCAGCTGATACGAATTTCCTGCGGCCTGTCGCGTCTCTTGAAATTTCATGAAAAAAGGTTAAAGAAGCGGAAAAAGAATTCACCCTTATCAATGTAGAATAGAGATCACTTTTTTCTTACAAGTAACGAGACCTAGTTGACTTTCTAGATAGATACCCGTGACGTCAGTGGATAACAGGTTATACGGCTATAGGAATTTTTTAAAAGATTTTCAGAGTATCAAAATGTTTTAGGAATTCAGTAATTTACACCAGAGCTCTTAATTATATAGAATTAATTACGAAAGCTACTAATATTACAATAGGGGTCAAGTAAACTATGACAACGCTCCCTGGGCTTGTACAGAATTTATGCACTGACCTAACTACCGTGGCTGAATTTGTAACCAGGCCACGTATACCTACATGACCTGTCATATATCGGAAGCTTCTCAAATGAAAAATACAAATAGCAATAGGGATGACAAAATTGAACAATATTACACAGAACCTAAAGCTCAAATCACAAGTGAACGATTAGTGCAAATATTGCCGTAAAATATTTCAATGGCGAGAAGTCAATGATGAAGTCAAAAATTATATTAAGACAAAAATGATTTGTTGAATATCTTCATACAAACGTCGGTTTACCGTGGATTCAAAAGTTGAAAATGAATAAATTTTTGCGCAACAATCCAATTAAAGCTTGGGATTTCAAAAGGTCGCTCTTACGCAGTAAAATTTTGTAAATGACATCGCGGTCGGTAGTAATTGATACACTTGGCGAGTGGATTCCACGCAGGAGGAGTACGTCACAGAATTCGTATTGTTCCGCGCGGCGAAATAATGCTCTAATTATAACCAGAATCGCTTCGCCGACATTCATTAAGCAATTGCAGCGTCTCTTTGTCTTCCAGTATTTACGCAGAAGCTTTGCGTTTCAGTTGCGGCCTCACTGTGCCAATGGACACTTATTTTCGGCGAGACTAGACTCGAATTTAATATAGAATCGAGTTCATTTCACTCGTCTGGTAATGCGAAATATGTTGCAAGGAACGTTCGCGTCTATCGGTAGATTCTATTTACCTAGAACTTAGAGCAACCCAAAACGAAGGAATGTCGAAATTCAAAAATTTCTTCAATCCAAATTACGTCATCCAGTTCTTCACTCTGATTGGCTCCTCTGTGCGTAATATCCACTCATCCATCGAACTACGTATCGTCCCATATTCAAACTGGATCCAAACTGTTATGTCATTCCCCTTATTGTCTCTGAATTATGTAAATAGATACTTATAGGCCACAGATTCTCGCACTGTATGATGAAAATTGAAAATTATCCTCGTTCGGCTGTAATATTTCAAACGGTCACCGGATGACGGTATTGTTAAACTTTTTCCCATAAGAATGGGTCCGTCGTAAACACTGAGCATTTCCATGACCAACGATCGTGAATGACTAAAGCTGCGTTCAGTGTGCGTAGGAATGTTTTCAACGGACCGACAAGATCGCGGTTCACGTATGCGTTTATAATGAATTCGTGTACACACGTAATCATACCAGGCAGGTAAAATTCTTGTGTTCTACGTTTTTCGACCTCCCGCAGGAAGCGAAACATTTATTCGAAGTAATTATTTAATATTACACCCACGAGAGTCGAGTGTCGGGATTAAATGTACGAGTTTCATTCGTTTTTATCGTTTTCCCGTTGCGCCTCCAGGAACTTACAATCGACCAACCAAACTATTCAGCACTGTCAATAATAAATTGACTCACCTTATTCCAATTAGAATTTTATCCAATGATTTCGTCAAGGTCTGATATCACAACTTTATTTTGTACAATGAACACTTGAGGATTGAGCAGCATTAAAATAATCGTCGGTACGTCATTTTAATTAATCTGAACTTCCAAGGAGGGTCACTGACAAAGCCATACAAAGGTGTGATTGTGAATTGTGAAGGGAATTACTTCGTTATTCCAATATGTCTCTGCGTAGGTTATGACGGTTGATGGTAAAAGTGCATAGCACGCTTCTGTTATATATGAGTTGATCGTTAAGCACGTGTTACGATTAATGCGTGGGTAATGCACGCGGACAGCAGCTCACGATGTTGGTTGGTATTAAAATTCTTATGCCGCGTACAGCTGGCTGCGGTGCCGGTTAGGTTAGGTTTGGTACATTGGGCCTAGTATCCTCCATTAATCAATGCTTTATCTCGCGTAAAGGAGGTCTAAATATTTCGACGCTCTCTTTTTTACACTCTTTCTTCAAGTAGGCGGCATTGTGCACCTCCCGACGTTGCACGGCCACGGACACGCTGTATTACTGCTTGAATACATTCTAACTTATGAGCTCCCATTATATGTAAAACAGCTCTTGTCAGTCTACCGTTGGTTCAACTATGTTACCACTCGATGAAGAGGTGCTTCAAATTGTTAACAGCGTAGCTTTTATCGTTACAACAGAGAATCACGAAGGCTTTACTTGATTTTATTTGGGATTCTAAATTAAGAAATAAAATTAGTATTTCGTTTGACTAGCTCTGTAGAGGCCATTAAAGTTCTTGGCGGGACAATCAAAATCGTCGGAGATGAGACGAACGTGACGCATGAAAGACTTTAATGGTCAGTAACAATGCGCACGTCAGTCTTTCGTGATTTCTTTGAAAGGAGGTTGAATTGCCAAATTTACAGATAGAAATACCTCTGCATAATACGCATTAAGAAAGAGTCCTCTGTCCGCCTTATTCACTCAATGCCCAAGACGCGCGAATTGAATTCTCGGACGAAATGGATTTTACCGAAAATACGGACCTAACCTTCATCGGTTCACCCTCTTTTCGGTCACTCGATTGAAACTAAAAGCACTACTTTGTCAGATTCGGAAATTCTTCCAGGAAGAATTTCTTACCAGCCTCAATGACAGTGGCTGCTTGGAAAAGTGTGGGTTGACTGAAAATGGCGGATATCATTGTTCGTAAATCACGAGAGACGAGTTAATGCATGTTTATTATATCGCACCTCATTTTATGAAAAATTCAGTAAAACAATAAACGGTATGCTAAACGCGTTCTTGCGTTTTACATTATAGGCGCATAATGTTCTATGTGTTTTTCCATTCCATTGTAAACAGTTCTACTGCGACATCATTGATCATTACGTTTAATGCTACAACGTATATTCACCATAAGCACATTCCATTATCTAAGCGATCGATTGCAGCACTGCTAGAATTTCTCGTGCGTTGATGATCGACCTAAGGGGTTAAACCTAAGTAGTGGGGATGATCGTGGTTCGGTTGGGAGGGTGCGGAGGTTTCGGAGTGTTGCAACACACGCCAAGTGACCATTATGCAGATTTCCAACGATTAGGTATATCGTGAGCTTGTCTGGGAAATGAATGTAATGTAGCTTTGCGGTGTCCCCTTTCAACCCCTTTCATCCCCTTTCATCCTCCAAATGCACTGCCTTCTACTGATCCTCCCCCCCACCACCACTTCTCCTCAACCTCTTTTTTACGGACTAAAAGTACTCTTTCGCTCATTTGCAAAAAAAAACCTGCGAGTTATTTTTACAAATTACAAGAAAAAGGATACTGCGAAATGGAAGTTTTACGTGATAATTAATAAAATAATGGTGAGCGAAGTTTACGAGTTTGCAGATGCTGTTTTTTTTTTTATAATTTGATTACTCTAGTAAACATTATTATTACTAACAGTGTATTCTTCGTTTTAATTTTGATTGTACATAATGGTATTTGGACAAAAAAGTTTTTTAATCAATTGTTGATTACAATGCATATATATATATATACGTATATATAGAGCACAAAAAAGTATCTATGACAGAACATAGCGGGAGGGCATTTTTAAGGAAAGCGGATTTCCCAAGGATTAAAAAGTTCCGAGCCTTTTCGCGTAG